TAATTGTACCATGTTGTGCTAGCATGCTAGCCACCCTAAAACTCTCTGGGAGGTACAGGTCTCCCTCAGAGCTCCACGTAAGACTTACCCATTTAAACTACCATATTCTTGGGGCAAGGGAGTGATCTTTCATTGTTGGTGCTTATGTTACTTGCTTGTACATATGCTGACAGAACTAAAAAGAAGAAAAGAGAAAAAGAACAGTTGCAAATACAGGAGCGTCTGAACAGATGATGGCTCTATATAGGAGGTGGAAGAACAAGACACGAAAGATTTCCAGGAGAGAGGACTTTGCATGTTAAATCTAGAAGAAACAAAATCCTTGCTTGGGCAATACCTGTCTTGGATCAGTAAAGTTTTATAAGCAAGGCAAGCTTTCAGATACTCCAGATCTCTTCAGGCAAAGATAAGGGATCCTGGGGGGATAGCCCAGCCTTTCATGCAATCTACTTCTGAAGTTGAGTTCTGGGAATGAAAGCTCACACTATCTGGGTAATTTTAGTAATCCAAGAAAGGAATTTTGTTTCCGTTCATGGATCACATGACTACTTTTAAAAATGTCTTCTTAGAGTTCTGGAGAGTAAACCGGCAGAGGGATAAAACAAAGGGGACACATGCAGAAAGTAGTGTGCAGACGTGATTAGTGGGATGCAAAACTGTAGGACTGCATACCATTCTATTAGATACATTCTGCAGTAAAGTGTGACATACACTTTTAAGTATTTGTTACCACCTCTTACAGTCTTCGATACAACAAACCATATGGATTTTTCCTAGATCCTTCCATCTATCCATAATAAAATTTCTATTGTGTTTGCACATTCATCTGTAAGGATTTAAGCTTTCTCTCTGATCCTCCCCACCTACCTCACCCGCCTGAACATTACAATTTAACAGGGTGTTTTCCATTAACAAAAATAGGAGGAGGACCTATTTTAGCTCCATGATTCATTCATGGCTGTGTGCCAAAACTGGAATATATTGAAGGCCTGTAGTCTCCAGAGAAAAGGTGGGCTGCTTTTAAAAAACCACAAAGACATGAATGATTTACAGAGAACTGAAAGAAAAGGCTTTCAGGAACATCTGAGCTAAAAAGGAAAACTTTCTTAAGTCCTGACCCTTAAAGGATTTACAGTACAGTCCAGAGTGCAAAATTTGCAAAGCATGGAACAGTTGGAATATGCTAGCCCCTGCCCCTCCTGCATTAATCTGAAGGCTTAAATTCCTTCATGAGTATAAGGAATGGCTTAATTTTTAGTTTCTGCATGCAAATAACTTCAACACAGAGATGTGCCATGTGCATCAGCCACGCTGGACAGAGAAAGCTAATATTCAAGCTTTATAATGAAAATAACACTTGTGATGTGAAAGACGTGGTACTATCAGCTTCCTGGGCTTTGAGTGTATACAGAACATCTGTTGCACATAAATATGCTTAATTAGCTTTTGAACTGAGAGTTGTTTTGTTTTTTCCTTCCATTTTACCTTTGCCCTTCAACCAAGATTCAAGATAAAGAGGGTGAAGTACTTTATCGAACTTCAGGGGTCAACCTCTGAGCAGATTAAGTTACTTCTAATGTTTTGACCTGTATTTTTTCAGGAATGCCATCTTTTCCAAAGTTCAAACTTAAGTAAACTTTTAGGATTATTTATGGTGATTGGTCATTCTCACATCTACAGTTTGCTCAAGATCCCATGCTGTGTGTCTAATGAAAGTAGATACATGAAATGTGAGTATGCCTGGATATAAAAATATATTAAGTGGGATTTTACACGTGCATCAGTTTACACTTCCAAAATAAAAACCTATTTATAAACTATTAAGAACTACCTTTAGCACAGCAACTCAGTTGCCTCTCAGTTGCGACAGTGTGTGTGTGTGTGTGTGTGTGTGTGTGTGTGTGTGTGTGCGCACATGCGTACACACACACACAGGGAGGCAACTGAGTTGCTGTGCTAAAGGTATATGTATGTATACACACACAGAGACAGACATGTGCCTTGATGCTCCAGCAAATATGCAATATTGAGTCCATTCTCCTGTGCATGATAAAATCAGCTCATGCTCCAAAATTTTTGACATAACAGCTTTCTATAGGCATCTTTCAGTCTTGAGAGACTATGGTAACATGCTGTAGATAGAGGACTTGGAGCAGCGTCTAGTGTGGCTGAGAAGGCCAATTTGAGAGTGACAGATATATTGCCCGTCAGCCTCCCTCAGGAGGTCATCCTGCAGGGCGACCAATGCTGTTTCCGTACCATGCCGCAGCCTGAAGCCCAACTGGAATGGATCAAGGGCATCAGTTTCCTCCAGGAAGGCCTGAAGCTGATCGGTCATCACCCTCTTGACCACTTTACTTAAGAAAGAAACATTGGTGACGGGCCTATAATTCCCAATTTTGTCTGCTGCCAAATTAGGTTTCTTTCTAATGGGCCTAATGTGTCTCCTTGAAGGCAGGGGGAACCATGCCCTCCTGAAGAGACCCATTAATTATTTCGGTGGCCCATTCTGTTGTTACTGACTTGGCTGCTTTGATAAGCCAGGCCAGACAAGGGTCTAAAGAGGAGGTGGTGGCATGACAGCACGCAAGCACCCTGTGCACCTCATTGGATGTCATAGGTTGAAAGCAAGTTAACCTCGCCAGACAAGATGATGCCCTGGACATCTCAGCTCAATCTACCGTCTGTAAAAAGGGATTGAGGGCCCGACGAATGGCCTCCACTTTAGATTTTAAAAATACCACAAATTGGTCACAGGAGATACTAGAGCGAGGCCTATCACTGCGGCCAATTCTGGATGGATCGCGCACTATACGGAAAAGTTCTGCCTGCTGGTTGTGAGCTTTGCTTATCCAGTCAGTGAAGAATGCTCTTCTAGCAACCTTTAGCCTAGCTAGGTAAAGATCAGACGCAATCCTGGCGTTTTTTAAATTAGTTTCTTTAGGGGCTGTACTCCAGATTCTCTCTAACCTTCTCCTATTACGCTTCATGGCCCTCAGCTGCTGATTAGACCAGGGAGCTGGTCGGCCTCGGCAGCAGAGAAGGCGCTTAGGTGCCATCATGTTGACCAACCTGGTGGCGGTGGTATACTAGCCATCCACCAAAGCATTGACAGGAGCGCCAATCAAGTCAGCTGCATTTAATTAGGTGGCGATCCGACCATGACAAGGGGGCCAATACCAAAATGGCCATCATTGGAGCACACTCCCTCTGCTTGGCAGCAAAGACCAGATCCAGCATATGGCAGCCCACGTGGGTAGAGTCATTGACTTGCTGGGTCAAGTCCAAGGAAGGCATGGTTTCCAGGAACTCATTAACTGGGCTGGAAACCTCAGTCTCCATGTGAATCTTGAAGTCCCTGAGAACCAATAGTATGGGGTATCTCAACAATGCCGCAGAGATGAAATCCGCCGGCTCTGGCAGGGACTGTGCTGTATCGCAGGGAGCACAGCAAGTCAGCACAATCTCAAAGCCACCCCTGGCCCCAAATGACATGTGGACGGCCTCTAGACTGAAAACCTGGCAGTTCAAGCAAGCCTTTCCTCCATCCACCACCTGATTTTGTTCTCTGTGCCTTCTCCCATCTGGATCATCGTGTTTTTTAGTAATATGTCATTATGATTTTAAATTGTACTTAGATTTGATATGTTTGGAATGATATGTTGTTACCTGCCCAGAGTAGTCAGTACGACTAGATGGGCGGGCTATAAATGTAACAAACAAACAAAGACGTCCTTACAAACAACGGTCACTCTCCACCCACCTGCTCAGTCTGCCCTGGTGTTGGATGGCATAACCAGGTGGGTATATGAGGGAAAGAGTAGCTCCTCCATCAGCACCCATCCATGTCTCAGTTATACAGGCCAAGTTTGCCCGTTCATCCAGGATCAAGTCCTGGATGACTTGGGTTTTGTTCTGGGCAGACCTGGCATTTATCAACACCAGTGACAGAGAGGGAGGCCGGCTAGGCTGGTTACCAACGTTCGAACAGGTGCCAGCAGAGCTAGAACAGGGGACAGCCTTCGAACATCTGTCTGGTGTTCTATGTTTGATTGCTACGACACCAACACCATATCTCTCCCTGCCTGTAATTACCCGTATATTTGAAGCACCCTCGCTGGAGTAACAGACATCCCACTCCACTGTAGGAAGAAGAGGGAGGGAGCAAAAATCTTGCACATGGCCAGAAAAGGAAACATTAGAGCCCGGGATTGGAACCAACTGTATGGAGAATTAGTGCAGGGAAATTGCCCCAGAGGGAGACCACAGTTGTGATACAAGGATATCTACAAGTGGGATATGAAGGCCTTAGGAAGAGACCTCAATAGATGGGAAACCTTGACATCTGAGCATTCAGCCTGGAGGGCAGCACCACGGCATCTTCTATTTTGAAGAGACCCTTGTCCAGCAGGCCGAGGCAAAGAGGCAGTCCCGAAAGCAGCAAAATCAGGGAGCTGGACGGGGGACAGATTGTATTTGTCTTCAGTGTGGTCGGTCCTCCTCGATATCTCAGCGGCCTTTGATACCATTGACCACGGTATCCTCCTGGGGCAGCTCTCCGTTGGGAATCAGTGGTCTCACTTGGCGTGGCTCTGTTCCTTCTTGGAGGACTGTCCCCGGAGAGTTCAGCTTGGTGAGATGACTTCCACCTCATGGATCCACAATTGTGGGGTTCTGCAGGGGTCGATCATCTTTCTAATGCTATTGAATATCTATATGAGGCCGCTGGGTGAGGTCATCCAGAGTTGTGGAGCTTGGTGTCATCAGTAAGCTGATGACACCCAGCTCTACCTCTCCTATTCTCCAACTGCAGTGGATGCTGTTTGTTCCCTTGAATGCTGCTTGGGGAAAATCCTATATGGAATATCTTCTCAATTGCATTTAAATGGCAGTACAAATATTGCCATAAATACATTCTAGAAAAGCGGGAGAACAAGGTGTGCTGCTTGAGCTATAAAAAACTTCTTTAGAGAAAGCTTTTCCTTTTTAAAAAATATACAAGTTTTATTAGTCAAAATACAATTATAAAATACAGAAAGACATATTCATAGAAAATATATATTCACCAAGAGACAAAGAGGAAAAGGCTCCAGCATAAGAGGGGGAAGAAAGATAGGGTCTCAAAGGGACACAAAACCTCCAAACGTTTAATCAACCAGCAGCCCAGTTCTTCAAAAATAGTAGCTTGGCATTGCCTTTATTTGGATATGAAGTCTCAGATTTTGAACACTGCATACCTTGTAACATGCACTGCCAGGTATGCAAAACTTTATTCTGCATGCTTGCCTTTTGAAGGATTTCCATTTACTATTTCTTAAAATTACACAGTATGCCTCTGTAAGATGTCCTCCCCTTTAACTTTGACCGCTGGATGATCTGCAAGCCGACTACAAACCTCTACGTTTGGAGATACATATTCCAGTGGGTGGAAACAGTCGGATTGTTGAAAAGTTTGGATAAATCTTATTATCTGTTTGGTTTCAGCTCAGATGTTTGTGAAGCGGTAGCCATGTTAGCCTCTGCAAGCATAATGAAAAGACAAAACAAAATCATTTAAATCTATCACACTCTTCACAGGATCTGAATGTTCATATTCTAAAGCAAAAATAGGGAACAAGATTCCAGAGGGAGAAAGTTGAGATAAAATATATACATATGCTTAATACTCATCTCAATAGTTTAATGAGCCCCTTGGTGCAGTAGGTAAACTGCAGTACTGCAGTCAAGCTTCTGCTCATGATGGCATGAGTTTGATCTCCACAAGCTCAGGTAGGCAGCTCAAGGTTGACTCAGCCTTCCAGCCAAGGGTTCTTAAGGTATTACCGAAAGTAAAATGCTACAATAATTATGTTGCTATTTGTGGTTATTTTCCAAAGCCCATGTTCCTTTCCAACTACCACAGCCACCCTTGCTAAACAAGCTTCAGAGAGCTCAATACTGTCTTCTCAGTGTGAGTGTCTGTCCAAGAGCTCTTCCTTGCCCTTCCTGAAGAAGCTGGGGACTGATCTTGCATGCATGTGCTTTACCACAACTGCATGCAAGCTCATTCTTAAGTACTGCATAGGCATATGCAAATGACTTCTCACAGCCTGCATATGAGATAGCTATCAATAAGGAATGAGCGTCAACCCCACAGGCTCATTTAACTAGTATGCCACTTTGAGAACTAAGTTAATTCCATTACATGACAGATTTTACAAAGTTTTACAAACTGTTCACTAAAACTGCTCAGTAAAGTGAGCTAGAAGGCTATGGAATTTAAGACTCTCCAAGACACACCACCACATTCTGAATTACAAGGCTATTACAATTACAGTCTGGTACAGTCTGGATAGCTACACAGTATGATTCAGCATATAATTTGCAGAAGCATTCCTGTTTAGGAAAACATTTCCCTTTTTCATGCAGACTGGCCCTATGAAACTGTTCCTTGGGGCTGGGGTTCAAAAAAAGGAATCGAGGGATTTCACACAAGAGCAACTTTGAAGACAAATTCCCACAGTACATGCCTAGTGCTACAACCTCTGCTATGCAAGGCCTAACTATATTAGTAATCAGCTGTGTTTTAGTTCTGTCTTCCTTCTCCCCAACTGTGTATAATTCTAACATCCTAAGGCAGCATGCCTATAGAAATTAAAGTCCTGCGTCACAAAATCTTACTATACCCGACATTATTAATATTAATACAGTGGTGCCCCGCATAGAGACGATAGTCCGTGGAGCCAAAATCATCGCTATGCGGATTTGTCGCTATGTGAAATAAAAAAGTCCACAGGAATGCATTAAAACCTGTTTAATGCGTTCCTATGGGCAAAAAACTCACCTTTAAGCGAAAATCCTCCATACGGCCACCATTTTCGCTGCCCGGTAAGCGAGGAATCGGCACGAAAACACAGCGGGTGGCCATTTTTTTACCTGGTGGCCATTTTGGAACCGCTAATCAGCTGTTGGAAAAGCATCGCTATGCGAAAATCGGTAAGCGAAACAGCTTACTGATCATCGCAAAGCGATTTTTTCCATTTAAATCATCGCAATGTGATCGCTTTTGCGATCAGAAAAAATCATCGCTATGCGGATTTGTCGTTATACGGGGCGCCCGTTAAGCGAGGCACCACTGTACCCTATTAATATTAAATATATTCAATTTCAATAGTGTATAGGATTTATTTATTTATTTATTCATTAAATTTATACCCTGCCCATCTAGACTGAAGTCTACGCAGATAAGAGTAGTATAAGAACATAAGCAAGTTTTTCTGGAATATATCAATAATAAGACACCTAAATACTTAAAATCTCTATGTCTTCCCTGAGCCACAACACTTCTAGACAACTCTTTTCACCATTTTAATGAACTGCTTCTTTCTGTGAGGGCTTTTAAAATTTTATTATTACTACATGTGCTACATGATAAAGCAGCACACTTTGTTCTCTTAAATTTCATATGACTGCATGAAAAATTACTATTATCACTTTTTAGGCACTTATGTTAGCTGGGCCTCCAAACAACGTATTCTGTACATAGTTATCTGCCTTGAATCCATGAGATATACTGGACAATAACAGAACTGAATTAAAGCAGTTCTGTAAACTATCTGATCAAACATGAACACATTCCTGTTCAACATGATATGCTGTTCAAAATGATTGTTTCTCCGGGTTTACCTCACTGTTGTCTTAGTATTACTTTTCTTTAAATACAACAGCCACTTTCACGTAGGGCCAAAATACTTCTTTGCCCATACAGTGGTGCCTTGACTCATGACCATAATCTGTTCCAGAAGATGGACATAACTAGAAATTGTCGAAGCACCATTTCCCATAGGAACGCATTGTAATGCAATTAATCCATTCTGGCCGAAGGGGAAAAAAATCACTTCCCCCAAAAATCACTGCAAGACTCATTGGAAACACAATTAATCCTTTCCGGCTGAAGGGGAAGAAAAGAGAAAAGCAATCAAGCGTGCAAGACTCATTGGAAATGCACAGAAAACAAATGGAGCAGATCGGAAATGCACAGAGAACAAAGGGGGCAGGTTGGAAATGCAAAGAAAACAAAGGAAAAAGCACGGGAAGCATGCAGGATCCATCAGAAATGGGTAACCTCCCCAAAACAACCAACCCCCCAAGACCTTTCGGAAATGGGGAAAAAAACCCCAAAAGCAACCAAACCCCTGAAGACCCATCGGAAATGGGGGGGGAACCAAAAAACAAACAAACCCCCCAAGGCCCATTGGAAATGGGGAACCCCCCAAAAAACAGAACCCCACCAAGACCCGTCACAGCACAGAAACATAACTCCCCCAGCTCAAAACCACGTTGTAAAAACACCCATAACAGTTTTTAAAAAGCAGAAACAGCACCTTACCTTACCAGGCAGACCAAAGCCTCCCTGCAAACACACACACACACACTCAGAAGCAGAAGTGAGGCAGTCCCAAGCCTCCTCCGACACATTCTCTCTAACTGCTGGAGCAAAAGAGCTACAAAGAAGCAGCCTTGTCACAACATACAGTTAGAAATTTGAATTCCCCGCCCTTTTCCCTGCCTTTTTCTGTTCGTAAGTGGAAGCTCTGGTCACAAGTAGAATCAAAATTTTGCGGCCGGAGCTGGTCATATCTCGAAATGGTCATAAGTAGGGACATTCGTAAGTCAAGGTACCACTGTATCTTTATAGTAAACATTTATGCAAACATTTTCAGAGAGGTTGTTAAGAGTCTGTTGTTGCAGCAAAAACAACAGAGAACCTTGTGATACACTGAAAATGTAGGGTACTATATATAAAAAAAGAGATTGTGTAAACAGAACTTGGTGGTCTCATTTATATGAGAAAATCTGAATTGTTAAGAGCATGTAATAAGAAATGGGAGCCAGAGAGAGAGAAAAAATGTTAAAGCCTTCTTAGAGAAACCACTACATATTTCTACTATGTGCTAAATGGTTTTATTTTTAAGGATCAATACCATTACCTGAATCCCCTTTTAGTAATATAGCACAATGTGATTACCGGTGGCTTGACAGCATGCCTTTTCTTAAAGAATTATCCAGATTAGTTCTGAAATAAAACAAACTTTGCCAGCCTTGTTTTGTGCCTCAATAACTAAATCTCATAGACTTGTCACAATAAGGAACAAAAGCAGCTTACACTACAAAATAAGAAAAGTGTTCCCTGATTTTAACCATAAGCTGACATTAAAAGCACTCTGAACTGGCAGTGCAGAAGAACTCCCAATTTGTATATCCAAACATTCATCTATTATTTGACCCAGACGTTCAACTATAACCTGACCTTGTTTTGAAATATGATCCTCTCACTGATATTTGCCTGTGAATGATGTTGCTGTCAACTCTGCTTACAAACAAATGGCTGACCTTTTCCAAAGTTACATGACAAGCAAGTCTACACAGCAGAGAGTGTTACGAGTAAAAAAGTTCAGTGCATTCAGTTTTCTTAGCTGTGTGATTAAACCTCCGTGCGTTCTTGGAAAGGCGAAAGGTACAAAACAAAAGCCACTTCTGCAGAAGAGGAAGGGACACAAACATGGAGCAAGACTTGAAAGTCTAAAAATCTGTGGATATTCTGAAGAAGTTAAAACACAGGACACAAGTGTGTCTCACACTCAAAGCACTGTGAAAGTAGAAAAGAAACAGTTCTATGGAACAGAAGGGGGAAATCCTCAATCTGGATATTCTTCAAGGAAGCAGAAAATGAAAAACCCTGCTTATCTTCCCTGGAAGACTACATAAATAACATGAACAAGTTCACACATATTGTTCAATTTCCCAAGGCAAGATGATGCAACAAGTAGAACTGGAACAACCTTCTTCACAACCTGTAATTGGCCTTAATCTCAGCCAATTTTTCCACAGACTTCATGTCTTCCTTAGCCATCCTTTTGACATTTTGTACAACTTCTTTGTGCTGTAAATCACTGATTTTTTCATCCCTGTAAAAGAGAAGAGGAAGAGAAAATAAAGATATCACACAAATCTGTCAAAATTTAACCCTTATATTCAGAAGCAAGGAGTCTTTGCTTCATCCTAACCATAACTTCAATGATTGAGAACTCTTGGGCCATACGAGCATCAGCACCTTTGTACATTTATAAGGATCAACATTTCTAGGGGTGACACCAAGAATGTAGAACAATTTATCTTAACAGGGGTCACAAGCCTCTTGGCGTCTAGCTCTCTTGCACAGTACTGTTTCTCCACATCTTTCTGTTTTTTTGCAGCTGCTATTTCAAGTTATCTTTTATTGGTTTTATGATTATTATTTTTTTTTGTTTTTCAAACTAATATTAGTATGTATTCGTGAAGGCTTTCACGGCCGGGATCTAATGGTTGTTGTGGGTTTTTCAGGCTCTTTGGCCGTGTTCTGAAGGTTGTTCTTCCTAACGTTTCGCCAGTCTCTGTGGCCAGCATCTTCAGAGGACAGCACTCTGTGCTCTGGTGTAGTTTGCTTGGGAGTGGACTATTTGTGGCTGTGAGATAGGCTTTTGTCCTTTTTCAACTAGAATAGAATTATTTCTACATTATTCTCCAATGTTCATTTTCTTCCCCTTTCTTGAACACAGTTTTGACCACTGCTCACGATTAATTATAAATTCAGAACTAAAATGCTAAAAAAAACTTAGGTGTGCCTCAAGTTCAGAAATTTTGGAATCTGAAGTGAAGCAAAGGTATTAGTCTGTTTCCAAACTGATCTGAAGCGAAACAAAGAAGCTCAAAGTAGCAATCAAATAGAATTGGGGTCCTATGAAGAATGAAATGGTGCTTCAACACTTTGGTTTAAACAGATTTAAAAATTAAACAAAGAAAATCTTTGGCCCAGTGAGCTTCACTTGGAAAACTAAAGTGATACATTAAAAGAAACAGGTTGGAAATGCAAAAGGAGAATGACAGCTGAGGCATCAAGAAAAGCCCAATCATGGAACCCTTCGGAGGGCTGACCCTTGTCTTCTATCTATCTACAGTGGTGCCTCGCATAACGTTTGCTTCGTTTAACGTTTTTTTCGCTTAACGTTTATTTTTTCAGAGTCAGATTGTGCTTCATATAACGTTTTTCCCTATGGGCGATTTTCACATAGCGATTTTGGGACCATGCTTCGCTTAACGTTTTTGGTTTTAGGTCCCCTGCTTCACTTAACGATGTTCATTTTTTCAATTGCAAAAGTGTCTTAACATGTTGAAAAATGGTTTTAAATGCTTGGAATCGTTAGTTCACCTTCTAAAATGTGTGCATACTTAATTTGGCATTGATCTGACTTTTCGTTAATTTTTTGTGAATTTTTTTCTCCCCCATAGGAAACAATGGAGCTGTTAGATTTTGACAGCTGTCAAAAGTTGGGGGGAAAAATTCACCATAAATTAACGAAAAGTCAGATCAAAGCCAAATTAACTTAGAGGGTGCAGAAGCTAATCCAAGCATTTAAAACCATTTT